ATCTGGGGCTCGAAGGGGGTGTAACTACGGTTGCTTTGAAGTTGGGACTCATCGGACCGAAGCCCCTCCCCCTTCGAGGCTTTTAGTCGCATCGAGTGGGCGGCTATAGTAGTCGGGGGGTCTGTTGTCTCGACAGAGTGCTCGTAAATTGTGTTCAAATTCCGGTAGATTGAAGATGTGGGTAGGTAAGCTGCTTTGTACACAGACTCCTGAAAACATGCTTTAAGTTTTTCATTTGCTTTCCGCTCCAAACTAACTTTTATGTGGGATATTTTCTACTCCTCTTTACTATTTATAACTTTCATAGTTTATACCCATCCCAGAAGTTTATATTTTGGACGACATTTTTCTGGGGTTTTGTAAGGAAATGATCCGTGAATCCTTAGGTTTATCATTAAAGAACGTAAAATACAGAGCTCTTTTAGTCACCCCCCCCCCCCCCATATTTTGAAACTTGAGTTTGAAAAACTATTTCAACATTGTCATCATGCAATGACACTTAACGCATATTGAACAAACCAACAAAATAACAAATTTACTGATTATAAGTCCTTCCTACTTTACATCAAACATCACGCATCTGATATGATATCAATAAAACAACTATGAAAATTTGAAATGTGGGGGGGGGGGGTGGAAAAGAGCCCTTTTATCTTATAAACCCCCCGTTATAGTAGCCCCCGCTTCATAAGTTTTTTGTTTTTTGGGACGTCTATTCTTAAAGGGGGTGGCTATTAGGAGATTGAGCCTTGAATTCTGAGGTTTCTTTTTTAAATTGAGCGTCCATCTAAAACTGGAAAAAATATATAAAGGCAGCTCACTCTGAATTGTTCCTCGCCGTCTAAAGTAGGCGAGTGGTCCACATCCAACACGTGTTCGTTGAATCTCCGACCTCTCTCTTCGTCGTCGTTGTGCGTCGGAGTGTCTATTTCGTGCATCTCGTATCTAGCGGCGTAGTCTGCACAACCCATTTAATAAACAGAGCCAATTTCAGAAATGCTGTACACGTAATATTCATCCTTTCATTAGTTTATGAAACTTGGACAACTTTGAAAATAACTTTTTCTAATATGTTTGGTTTCATCGTGAAAGTTTTTTGTTTGGTTTTGATATTTTAGGTCAAAAATGGAGCAATTTTGTCCATTTTATTTTTTAGCACGTGCCTTTTTCCTATACACGGTACACATAACACTCATATTTTAGGTTCTTTTTGCGTATGATCCATAGACAGTCGGAATTTTGTCTATGAACTAGAGTACTTGTCATACTTTAACATACAAGGAGTCTATGGGAAAAACGATTGTCATGGAACCTATGGAAATTGTGAGCTAGAACTTTTTTATTAATGTTTCTGCTTACATCAAATTAGCAAACCGTATTTAAATTGATTTAGAAAAAAGCGCAAAAAAGCCAGAATGAGCTATTACGCGCCAAAAAAACTGATTTATCAGGTTGGCTTGACTCTTTTCAACTCCACTCCCCCGTGCCTACATACAAATTCCAGCTGTTAAAAATATTTTAAGATTGTCCTAACGTAAAAAAATTGCATGGCAAAGAACTTAAATAGTGCGAAAAGATTTGGGCTCCGATTTTTGATGTTTTTCTGAAATTCTTTTGACAAAAGTCTATTTAAATTTAGTTTTCATGTTCTAAACTTCAATAAAATGTGGGCTCTTTTCCCTTGTATCCCACCTCAGAATTTTCTATAGTAATTTTTTGTTCACCTTTTGTTTTTTTTCACTTTCCTCCCACATTTGAATTTCCGTTTTGAATAACTAATTTTACGTTGCCATAGTCTAACAAAATTTTGCATGGTGAACAAACTAATTATTGTGAACACATATGTTCTTCATACCTTACATTGTAAAATCACTCATTGAGCCATGAAAACTTTGTATGTGGACTTATAAGGCCATGGCAAACATATTTAGTCATCATATTTAACCTTGTATCCAACAGTTAGACCATAAAATTGATGCTTATGTGAGGTGGGGGGGGAAATGAAAAAGAGCCGAAATGTGTCAGCGTGAAAAATGAACAAATTGTTACAAGACTTCCTAGATGCAAATTACCGTTTGAACAATTTTTGAACAGCCTTATATTTTAACTTTACGAGGCTGGGAAACTGGAAAAAAAGCCCCGATTTGCTCTTCTTTGATTATATCGTAAAAAATGCTTTTAAACATAATAACATGTAACTATAAATTTGTTTTTGAAAATTGGTTAGTCAGTGGAAAAAAGCCATTAAGTCACTCCCCCCGCCCCTCAACCTCATCCGCACAAAAACGTGTTCCAGTTTTGAACTTCTTTAAGAGTTATTACAGTTAAATACGTGTTGTTTTGATAAAAAACTTAGAAAAAACATGTTCAGAGTAATTGGTTTGTTCCGGCTAATTAGTTCTTATTACATTATGACAATGCGGCTGTTCGTCAGTTTCCTAATCCTTTGTAAGTTAATCACATAAAATCTTTAGAAATTGTTCATACTTTAATTTGCATGCAAGAAATGTTCAGGAAATTTTTCAGTTTGCCCAAAATTACACGTTTTTCTTGCAGTTAAGAACATGAAAGTTCATTTTAAATAGGCTTTTGTAAATTGGCTTTCAGAAAATTTTAGCTAGGAGAACTGGAAAAACAAGCCAAAAATTTCTCTTCGGTATTTCGAAATTTGAAATTAAAATGTGGGTGCAGTTATTGTAAAACAGGAATTTATTTAATTTTAAATTTCAAGAAACTGATTAAACGGTATCACAAGATTGAGTAACATTGAGTTTGGCATAGTGAACAAACTACAAATTCTGAACAGAGTTGTTGTCCATAGCGTATATCATGATTTTGTGAGTTTAGCCATAAGTACACGTAGAAAAAAAATGGAGTTTGAGTGAACGGAAAAAGCCCAATTTAAATATCGAATTTGAAAAATTAAATTAGCGTTGTAACAAAAACATTATAACTGATCACAAATTTATGATATCCTTTCCAGTTTTTTTTCTTTACAAGCCCACCAACCCCCTCAATTTTGAGAAACCAAATTCTTATTGTCAACAGAAAATGAAAAAGTAACTCAGTAATGTTTGGAAAATAATCATAAAATGGCCCATACCTTGGCGAGGTTGTTAAAAACTGATATTTCAACTGCTATTATCAGAAAACATATTACATACTATTATGAAATTTCTATAAGAATTATGTTTAAAAGTACTTTATCGTTATTAGTATAAGTTTGAATTGCTCAAACTAATACTAATAACAAGTAACCTAACTATTATGAACATATTTGATTATAATTTTTAGCGCAACATTGCGTTTTTATCCAAATAAATATATTTTAAAAGAAATGGAAATTACTTGTTTTTTTTTTGTAAATTACAAAAGTTCACTAAAAACAGATGAAAAAAGTTGTAACCGTTTTCTAGACCCTTTTCAGCTTTCCACTCCTACCCAAAGTTGCAGCACTTACTGTGTAAAATTTAATCAAAAGGCGTGAGAAAACGATCTGAACAAAAAATCGGCCTTGAAATCTTTTACTTCGCTCCAAAATATTTGGAGAAACACTTCCACCGAAGTGGAGAAACACTTCCACGGGGCATAAATTTTTGTGTACAAAAAAATACCAACCGCATGTCTTTATGGATCCTGAATGTTTATTTTACGAGTAATTTGCCACAACTTGTGACGAAAAACTTTTTTTTCCGGCAAAAACTTAGCAATTTTTATCAGTAATTAGCTCAGATTTTGAAAACGTTTCAACTGGTAGAGTATCAATGAAAAATCTCTAATTGATCAAAGTTTTTCGATAAATAATAGCTAATTAATTTGCAAAGAAATAACACGGAATTATACGTGAAAGTTATCCTAAGATTGGGTTAGCAATTTTTCAAGGCTAAATTTTATGGGGAACCTCACCTGATTTCCGCTTATTTTACAATTTTCCTTCGGCAAAAATATTAAAAATGCAATTTTTCAAATGATCAAGAAATTGTTGTTTGTTGTCCGTCATCAAAAAGATCAAAGAAAACTTACAACCAATTCAGATAGATTTTATGTGAAATACTGTTTTAAAACTGGCTGGTTTTGAGCCAAAAAACACGAAATTGGTGCACATTTAGAAAATTTTGACAATTGATTGTCAATATATAGATGTCGAAAACTAATAACAGGGGAGGGGGGGGCGGGCGGAGCGGATCTAAGATTTTTTCTAGGGGAGAGCGGATTTGAAAAAAAAAATTAAATTTTTGCTGTCTTTTTTTTTAAATCAACAATCAACCAAATTAATTTTCCGAATTCTCGCAATTCCTAATTAAGGCCCTATTTTGAACAATTTTTCTGGGCCGCGGGGGGTCGGGGGGTCGAATCCGTGCGGAAAGGGTGTCCCCGCCATCCCTCATAAATCAGCTACTGAGCGGGTGGACGGGGGAATTTTTGGATCTTAATTGACCCAAACTCATATTTCATTGATAGTAGTTTTTGAACGCTAACTTTTTTACGCGTCAGGAAAATACATTTTTTCTCTCTTTTTTTTAAAAAAAAAATCGCATTTATAGCTAATTCGTGATGACTACCGTTACAAAAAAGAACAGCATTTCTAATTTTTACCCAGAATGATCGCTCCTTCAGTGGTACTAGATGCAGTTAGAATCTCCACAGTTCCCTGTGGTTGGCTGATCAAGTCACGTGCATCCGTCCGATTTAAGTATTCAGTGCTCTTAGCCGAATAATACGACGCTTCTTGACTTGAGCCCGAGGGCTGTTCTGGAACACATGTTACGTAATCATTTCCTGTCGTTAATTCGCTCGGAACGCTGGCACTTTTCTCGTCGGCGAAGCTTATCGTCACAGTCGCTCCTGGATCACTAGGGCCCATTTCGTAACTGTTTTCGCGAGTTTCGCTGGATGGTTTCGGGCTTGGACTCGCTTGAGAGGTGGCGTTGTCGTGGAGCTCGGATACTCGTTCGTCGATCATGGGCAAATCTTGGACTGTGTGAGTTTTAACATTTGAAGCTGTCAGTTTTGCTCTGTCAACTGGAACTTCGGCTGTTTGCACTTATGCAGTTAGAGGAATGACGGAAACTATTATTTAGGTATT